TTCTGTAGCTTCCAGAGAGGATTCAGTTCTTTAAGTTTGATTCTTTAATTTATTTATTGAAGAGTGTTTGTCAGACGTCAACATCTGCTCCACAAAAACTCAAACTGGAGACGTTTTCTCTGCATTTTATTTGATTGTAGTTCGTTTTTCAAGCACATCTTATTGTTTCAGATTTTTAAATCTCTTTATTTGGTTTTCTAGTTTTCCAGTTTTTCCATAAAGATGACGTAGGTTCAGATATAACCGATTACATATATGTGGAAAAAGTTAGACAGAATGAAATACATCTAGAGGACTACACGTGGAGCTCCGCGATCGTTTTTCTAGTCTAGTTTTAGTTCACTGGAGCAGCCTCGACCCAGAGCTCTGTTTAATTTCCAGAGATATTTATGAATATGCATGAAGAATCCATCGACTGTCCAACTGTTTACTCTCAGAGAGTTTCACAGTTTTTTAGAAAACAGGAAAGCAGCTGCTTTAGAGGAAAAAGAAACGATTCTCCTCCCTCCTGACAGATGCACTGCCCACTATCAGCCCCCTGTTATTAAACCCACGGCGATCACGCCTCCTTCCTGCAGGTCATCATTGATCTGAACTCCAGGGGGATCAGATAAGTCCAGGTCGAACCCCAGGTCACAGAGCCGGCCCTCCTACAGGGACAAAGACCACTCTGTGGGTCCCCCCCTGTCAGGACCCCACCTGTGCTAAAGCCTGAAATACCTGCATGGAAAAAACCCACGATAAGCTCCTGCTCAGGTATCACCTGATAGCCAATAAGAGCTGACCTGAACAGGATAAAGGTGCCCCCCACCCCCCAGCCCAGAGAGATAAACAGTTTTTGGAGCTCAGAGTTTATTCTGTTAGACAACAAGCATTAAAGGGTTCCTGCCCACCGACTTTATGCTCACTGAACAAACCAGAAATCCCACAAATAAGGTAAGAGTTTCTTTGCTTCCTGTTTAAATCTCTTTGGTTTGGTCAGAGTGTGCATGTGTGCATACACAGCATCAAACAGCTATAAAGTGAGGACGTATGAGTGTAACAGGCAAGGATAACCTTCATGTTAAGTCTTCAAAGCGCTCAACTTATCGTTGCGTAACGTTGGCTCTGATCACTGGATGTGAGAGCTTAAGAATCCATGGCAAAGGCAGCTGCAGCTCCTCTGGCCTTCAGCCTCTGACAGCTACCACAGCTAACAGAGGCTGATATTATTGAGCATTTTCACTCTAGTCAGAGATTAACTGATGGGTTTTTAGCTTTACACTGCACAGAATGTAAAGAGGTAATATTAAAGAAATGTTAAAGAAACTGAGAAGTTTTGCACGCTCATCATGAGCATGAATGTCGTGGTGGACTGACTGTACACCAACATCTTTAATGACATTAAAAAACATGACCTTTGATTTTATTTTGGATATTACATCAGTAATACTTGATAAAATTATGAAGTTGCACCTTGATCTGATGCTTTTGCTATCCATCAGCAAGCTTCTGGCATAACTCTGGATATTTGGCCAGTCTTCTTGGCAGAATTCATTTAAACTGGTTGGTTTCCTGTGACTGACCCAGCTTTCAAGGACAGTCCTTGTCCTGTTGGAACACTTAAACCTGGACACTTCTGTCCAAGTTTCAACCGTCTGGCTGTTGATTTAGTCGTCGTCGTCCTTCATTCTTCCATTTACTTTGTCCAGTGTACCAGTACCACAGGCAGCACAGCAGCCTCAGTGCATGACGCTACCACCACCCTGTGTGACACCAATAGGTTTGAAAGACAGACCTTTACTTCTCCAGATTTAGTTCGTATCATTGTGGCCAAGATCTGAAAACTGCTGTTCACGAACGCTGTCCATCTAATCTGACTGAGCTGGAGCTGTTTTGCAAAGAAGAATGTGCAAAGATTTCAGTCTGTAGATGTGCAAAGCTGGTAGAGACAGACCCTAAAAGACTGGCAGCTGTAACTGCAGCAAAAGGTGGTTCAAGTATTGACTCGGGGGGCTGAATAATTACGCACACCCCACTTTGCAATTATTTATTTGTAAAAAATGTTTGGAATCATGTTTGATTTTGGTTCCACTTCTCACGTGTTCACCACTTTGTGTTGGTCTTTCACCTGGAATTCCAATAAAATTGATTCATGTTTGTGGCTGTAATGTGACAAAATGTGGGAAAGTTCAAGGGGGCTGAATACTTTTGCAAACCACTGTAACTTGCAGCTGCAAATTCACGGAGGCTTCTTTCTTGGTCAGCACGCTCTCGGTCCATGGCGATGTAAATCTCGCTTGAGCCTTGGTTAGTTCCTGAACATCCAGACTCTCCTCTGAGGGTGACAGGGTTTTCTTCCAGATGTTGGCAAAGTGGTGAAACATCAAAATAGGAGAGAAACTGCCAGTTGTAGTTAATCAGGATCACATGAGAAGTTAATAGACCTTGGCATTGTAACGTCTATTTCAATGTCAAGACATTGTAGAACCTTTAAAATCACTTATTAAAAGATTTAAGTGAGTGCACAGATTTTTTTAATGCAGTAAAGTTATATGCTGTGCAACCTTTGCACCAAAGACATTCATGCTCATGATGAGTGTATATAAACCACAAACTATTTATTCCTGTTTCTTTAAAATTATAATCTTTGTAATGACGTGAAATTTTTCAGTGGATTTCTTTTATACAACCTGCATGAAAGAATAAAAGAAAAAGTCAGATTAGCCTTTTGTAGTCCATCTTCAGGACTTTGTAGTTTCATCATGGCAGACCCACCTCAGCAAACCACACAGTTCTTTTCCTGAGTCCTTAAACTCTTCTTCACATCCCTCCACGCTGCCCTGGAGGTCATGTGACCAGTGAGACAGCACATTTGGCTTTAGTGCAGAAAACATCATATATATAAATCAAGTCAAGTCCAGTTTTAAAGCCAATAATGAAGTTATCCTGACATATTTAGAGGAAGTGTGCTCACGAATCCCCTCAATGACGTAAACTAAATGAGAGTACTGATAACAAAAACATGTTTGCTAGCTGAAACCTCAAACACAAATCTACATGTAAATATTTTGTCTCATTTTCAAATGAATACGTCCGACTTAATACTAGAGGAAACATTTAATTGCTTTTAAATAAAGATTAAATAAAGTTTTAAGGGAACAGGATTCGATGCAAAAGTAAACTACAGCAGCTTTTCCTATGAAATATTTCCTGGATTGCACGGTGCCTATCAGCATGCAGCATTCGTTGTTTTTCTGCTGCAGACGCCTTCATCATTGTTGTTGCTCTATTGATATCACTCCATAGATCATAAAAAAATGACTCGTCAGTGTCATCTGGATCCATTAATGTGCAGAGTTCTTGCTTTGAGGTTGTCTGTGAAGGTTCTTTGCAAGCTCCTTTGACTGCTTTGAGGTCGCATTAAAGATTAAATATAAGTGCAATAATGAGACAGCTGACCTCCTGAGAGGCACTGATCACTTCCCTGCTCTTGGTGAAAAATGCTTGAGGCTTTAATAACGTTAATGACACACTTCTTCACCTCATCGAGCAGACGGGAGCCACAGGTGAGCCGAACCGTTTGAAGCTATTAGAAACATTGAAGTACTGAGCAGAGAAGGTGGAGAAGGGTCATCGTCCTTGTTTTTGTGTAGGAGTCAGCGCTGTAATGGCTGACGTCAGAGTATTTTCAGGTGTTACATACTTGTAAAAAAACGTGACCTCTGTGGTGCCGTCTGATGACTTTGTTGCTGTGATTTGGTCGATGATCTTCACCTTTGAGCGTTTGCAGGAATCACAGCGTCGTTGCTGCTGAGAGCAGCGGCTCAGTAAGCTTCAAACTGTGACCTCTTCTGGTTTTGCAGAGAATTACAGCAACATGCAAATCAGAATATGAAACATTTACTATTTAATCAAGCCTGTTTCAGGAAGCAAGATCGGGGATGAGTTTAGTAATCTCAAATTCCCCAGAAACAAGCTGGGATGCTTACACTGACTCTGCACATGCTCAGTATGATACCCCGTATATAAAAGATGCCCACTATGAAATATCAACTTGTTTTGTATGTTGGTATTTGTTGGTATTTTGGAGGGAGAAGTGACCATATTTGCCTCAGAGTGGAATGCTACTTTATCAGCTAATGCTAGCTAGCTTAGCTAGCAGTGTCTAGCTAAGCTAGCTAGACACTGCTAGCTAAGCTAGCTAGCAGTGTCTAGCTAGACCCGTTACTGGTTACCAAAGTAATAAAACAGTCTACTGGATGTAGCATACAACATTACAAGTACACCGACAGTTGAAATATGGTGGCAAAATCTGGTCCAGTGATTCAAAGTAGTGTAAGTGAGGCCTAGCACACAGCTAGCAGCTGCAAGTGCCCAGTGATACCTGTCAATCAACGTGGCCACACCCCTAAACTTAAACCTTACCAGCATCCAAATAAATAGGTTGGCATAAATGTCACCCTGTACAGGTGCAGGTGTTACGAAGGGTTAAACTACCCACAGAAAACGAAACTGTTTTTGAACCAGGCCGTTTATTTCTGTTCTGAACACTGGACACACTTTTGAAGCCAGCCTCTAGTGGACATAAGAGGGACTGCAGCTTTTGGTTTTTAAATGTTGAATTTATTTAATTTAATTGGATTAAGGGAGCAGGTAGTGATCCATAAACACATCGGGAGTGATAGTGGAGCCTATTGCAGAAAAACTATAGGGGATAAATCAGGGTCAATACTATGACCTCAAATGAAAATCACGATTAATTGAACATTTTACCTCGATTTTGATTATTGATTATGATCATCAAACACACACCTTGATAGTTTACCAGGTTTGCACTGTGAATGTGATCTAAAGCTGGCATATTTGCTGCGGTGATATGACTGTAACAGATTGGTGGGATTACCTTGGGTCACTGAAACCATTTTTCACGTGATTTTCTTCTTTATGTTTGATGTTGTCTTTACTAAAGATTAAAATTATGTCCATACAACAGAAACAGCATTTTTAACTATAATCTTCATCAAAAAGGAACGTTCGAAGTCTATTCTTAAAAGTAGAGAGAGGGTCTGTCTCCCAAACCCACACTGGGAGCTGGTTCCACAGGTGAGGAGCATGGTAGCTTTTAGAAACGCAGGAGTGACAGGTAAGCCTGGTCAGATTTAATCTGATATGATGAGCTTGTGCACCCGACAGGAAGTTGAATCTGAAAAAAAGCCTTTCTCCGTCTGAACGCAGGTACGAGTCATGTTCCTGATGTATATGTTTCTGCTGTCTGCTCTTCCAAACGGTGAGTCCCTCTGTAAAACTACATTATACCAGTCGCCCCGATATACATACATATACTTTTACCTGCTGACTCAAAGATTATGATAAGGATAATTTACCAATTATTTATTAATCACTAAAGAGTCAGAAATGCCTTCAAAGCATGAATAAATCTTTGTGTCAGATTAGTGGTTGAGCAGAAACGTTATGTCTCCTTTAGTTTATCCATTTGTGTGTGCTGATGTGGAAAGATTTACCTTTAGTGTTTTAAATGTTACATTTATGACCCTAATTGTTTTATTTATCCTTATCCAGCGCTTCCCGCCGGCTCCATCTTCTGTCCAGACCCGGAGGCAGATCACATGACTGGTGAGAACAGAAGCAAACATTATGTAATAAAATGAACGGATAGATGGATAAAAATAGACATAAACAGGACTGGAGGCAGAATGTGTATGAGAGGGGGGGTCAGAGGGCGTTACAAACTCTTATTGCTGTGGGGATGAAGGAGCTCCCGAAGCACTCAGATCTACAGTACAGTGAGAGGAGCCATCTGCTGCTCCTGTGCCCACCCAGGAGGCCACGGAGAGAGGGTCTACTTTAATCCATCGCCCCCCTCTGCCACAGTTTGAGTCCAGCCTCCTGCTGAGCACCAGGCTGGCGTTAGGCTGTTTGTGGTCATTTGTGTCATGCATTTCTTTATAAAATGGACATTGATGGTGGCATGTTTGCTTTATGATCAGTCTCGTCCTCACCTGTGGACCCCCTGTGCTGCATCTTTAAATGAAGTATGGACTCAGGAGTTTTGCTGAGTCTTCGGTGTTACAACATGAGACTTAATTGTAGTGATAAAGGTACGGACTCGAAGCTGCGTTGTGTAAATCTCCTAAACCTTCATGGATCTTCAGCAGCAGCAGTGTTCTCGACTTTGATAGCTCAAACAACAGTCGTAGACTTTCTGTGGCATCGTGGGCCGTTGTTGACATCGAGGTCGAGAGGCTTTGATGTTCAGTGCCTCCTGTGGTCTTAATCTTCACTGTACCTGCATGTGGAGACCTGCAGTCCAAATAATCTTCCACTCTGTGTGCTTCTCTGGACTCGAGTTACATGCAAACAGGATTATCTATGATTAAATCGCTCTGCTCGCCACCTCAAAGTTTACAGAAGCTCTGCAGGTTCGATCTTCTCGCGGCCTCGGCGTGTTTGTTTATTCACCTTCAGTCGTCTCTTCCTGCAGATTGTCTCGGGCTGCGCTTCACCTGGATACACTCGGTCTTCGATAACTTCCCCTCCATGCTGAGCTTTGTGTCAAAGCTGCACTGTGCGACGGGGATTTGCCCACGTGACCTGGAAGATTATGGCTGCTCCTGCAGATATGTGGCAGCTGGAAACCCTGTGGATGCTCTGGATGTGTAAGTAAGCCTCAGATCGCAGCGGGACTGCGGTTACAGCAGCTGCTGAATTTAAAATACGGCATAATTGAATTCAGAGGCTGGAGGCAGGCAGGTGTGAAGCAGGCTGGGAGAGTCTTCTCTGACCACCCCTCCCATTCCCATGGAAAATATTATTCATTATGCTGGAATCCCTCACAGGAGTTACAGTACAGGAAATGTCAAAATCAAGAGACAGTAGCTTTAGGATGGACTGGAATAATAAATGAAACCATGTACTTACTGTAGTACATCTCTCAGGCTGAACATCTTAAAGGTCTGTCAAAGGCATCAAGAAGAGGAAAAAGCAACTCAGGGATGGTTGAAAAAATTTTGAGAGACTTTCCACTGTTTTCAACTGTTAAAGCTAACCTTTAGCAGTAGAAAGGTTAACTTTAGCTAAAGCTTTAGCTAAAGCTAACCTTTAGCAGTAGAAAGGTTAACTTTAGCTAAAGCT